TAGTTTGCATGATGATATGAGGAAAAAAGTTTCATCTTACCCAGTAGCAGTGTGAGAATGAGCTTTATTGTTGTCTCCAAATAAAGTGTACAGTGTTAGCAGAGTATATAAATTCAGGGCATGCCAAATAAAGACTTGATAAACTATTTGTAAGTAAAGTGGTTTATAACCATTAAGGAGAATTGTAGAAAAGTTGACAGTCAACAGTGGCAGGGAGAGATAAGTCCTATCTGTTAAATTTATCTTTTATGTGACCTTGGGTAAGTCAATTTATCCCTGTGGGCATGAGTTTTTTCCTCTGTATACAATACCTTCTAAAGCAGATATAAAGCAATTAAATAGTAGCTAATACAGTGACCAATTACACAAATTTAATTTATTTTCTAGATCACAGGGAGAAGGAGCAGGCCTCAAGCAGATAGACAGCAGAGGGAAGCTGGATTTTGCTCTGACATTCTATAATCCTACACTTGAAGTACAATCCAACAGAGTATACTGAAGGGATCACAAAGTTCATTATGTGGATTTTGGTGAATTCCTGTCTTGATCTCATCTTTTTATAGGGGCAGTCCAACATGTGAAGAGCAGTAACCTGAGAATTAGAAAATTCTGTTCAGGTTTTGGCTCTTTGGAGGACTTATATAAATTAAATCTCTATGATTGATTATTTTCTTGTTTAATTGATTTCTGTAAACTTTAGAAAGCTCTTTAATATAGAGTACCCAGATATAACATTTATGATTAATGAGATATAGTATTTGTGATCATTTCTATAAAAAGCTGGGCATCAGGTCTTTAGTTAGTAACATAGTCCGCTATTATAATATTGTTTCTATAAGAAAATTAGATTTTATTAACATCATTTATAAAATTTGCTATACTAATTATATAAGCATTCTTTCCTAATCTTTAAAACAATTTCCTTAAAGACCTCTGATGATGATAATAACAATTCTAATTTCTATAGTATTTTATGGTTTACAAAACTCTTTACCCACAGTAACCTGCAAGTGTTATTATCTCCACATTACAAATAAGGAAACTGAGGCTCGTTTTTTTTCCTCTGGGCCTCAGTTTCCTCTTCTGTCCAAGGGAAACAATAATACTCTTTATTTCACAGTGCTGTGAGAAAAGCACTTAAAGTACCTTAGAAATATGAGTAATTGTTATTACTTTGATGATCATAGTTCTGCATAGACTATGGCTGGGTGTGCCTCAGTTTCTTGGCACACCCTGAGGCATGATTTACCTTTGGCTTTTACCCTCCCCCTAGGGGAGAAACAAAGTTTATGGGTGATTAAATGTGGCATTTGTGGTCATTTCAATAAAAAGGGGAAGGGCAGATGGCAATTCTTGTCCTAAGGTGTGCTGGATCATCTGGTCTCCCATGCTTAGTGCATACCCCGTGATAATGATGTTTCTTCTAAAGGTGTGGGGCATAGAAGAGTTACTCAATAAATGCTGGTTGATTGGATGCCAGATCAATTTTTCTTTTGTCTTTTGTCTAAAGAGTGTTCAAATATAAAGTATGGTCTCCTCTAGAGCTTCCAAGTGACAATGTGGAAAAGCATTTTTTCAGTATAGGCTAGTGGTATTTGGAAGTGACTACCTGGGAGGTGGTGTAATGAATAGAGTGCTGGGGCCTGGAGACTTCAAGAAGAGTTCAAATATTATCTCAGGCACTTACTAGCTGTGTGACCCTAAGCAAGTCACTTTACCTCGTTTGCCTCAGTTTCCTCATTTGTAAAATGAGCTGGAGAAGGAAATGGCAAATCACTCCAGCATCTTTGCCAAGAAAACCCCATTAGGGGTCACAAAGAGTTGGACATGACTCAAAACAACTAAACAAGAAACCACTCCATTATCTTTGCCAAGAAAACCTCAAATGGGGTCATGTAGAGTCAGACACGATTGAAATGGCTAAAGAAGAATTACAACATTTGGAGGCTGAAGTTCTCATCCAACAAAGAGCAGTGAGAGATCCTTCTTACTTGCTGAACCTCCTCAGAGAAAAGCTCTGAGCTAGCTTAAGTAGCAGGAGAGGGAATCTACCCCAAATACCAGGAAGTTGACTGCCCCTTTCTTGCTTTAAATTCCTGAATGCATAAATGTGGGAAAAGAAGACTTTCCCAGATAAAGATAAACAAATACAGTCTGGCTCCAAGGGATACCCTCTAGAAGCTCTAAAGGGCAGGGTAAACAGTAAAAAGCCTCCTTTAATCCTGTGTTTCTAAAAACAAGCATTGTAAAGTATAGGTTTCTGATTATGATGAGAAAATCATATACTCACTTGTACAAAGCCTTCATCTCTATTATCCAGCTTTAAGAAGCCCTGTTCACTGTTTTTCTCTGCTGCTTTTGCCCTAGTCCCACATCTAGACGAACAAATCCTCCAGAAACCTGGGCAACTGCTTCTAGACCCCTCTGATGACCTCAAAAAGCTGCCTTATAAGGAAGGAAATAAAATGAAGCAAAGATTTGAGTACAGTGGAATCATACCAGAACCAGAAAGACTTATTTGTAGCACAAAGGCTTTGGCTGCTTCAAATTCCAAATCGTATGGTCCATTTAGATGGCTGGTGGGCAGAAAAAGCCTTGTATGCACTCTGGGGGAAAGTCAACAAAGGGTTTTAGGAGCTTAACCAGAAAGGTCGAGTGATGCTGGGCACAGATCGGTCTGGGGATGTAGGGAGCTCCAGCTACTGCCAAGTATCTGGGCTGCCAAGACTACTCCCACTGCTCAGAGGATTCTGAGGTGGGCAGGGTTTTGGGAGAGCCTTCCTAATTGAGTGAATTAGGAAGAAAAGTGGTATAAAGGTCCATGTTGGAAGAATGCCTATATAGCCGCTATGCCTCTTCTGAAGAAGAGTGAGGAGGTAGCATGAAAATAAGTGGAGCCTGGGCCTCCTCAGGAGATGGAATTTGAAAAGAGCTGGTTCAATGCAAGAAAAGAAGAACTTAGAGAAAGAGAGTGGAGTTGATGAAAAAAATAGATATTTTTTTCAACAAGTACCTATTATATAACTATGAAGGCATGACAGATTATAGAATGACAGAGCTGGAAGAATCGGGCACAGAGAGGTTCAGTGACTTGCCTAGGATCACATAGATGGTTAAGGGTCTGAAGCAGGTTTGGAAACCCAGTCTTTCTGATTCCAGGTTCAGCACCCTATGTACTACTCCTCAGGGCAGCCTTTCAAAGGGAGGCCTCAGTAAAAAATGCAAATCCTTTCTGTCCTCAAGGAACTTACATACCATTGGACATTCTGATTATAGCTCAGAAAACAACCTCTGTCCTCAATCAGATTTTTCTTTATGGGTTTATCAATCAATCCGACTACAAGCATTTATTAAGTGCCTACTTTGTTCCCCAAACTGTGCTGGATACTGGGGTTACAAAAACAAAAATCAAACAGACCTTTCCCCTCAAGGAGTTTACATTTTATTAGGGGCAACAACACGTACACATACAAGTATATGCAAAATATCAAGTAATTGATAAAATTGGTCTTATTTCTTTTACACAGGGTGGCAAACAGGCTATCATGGAAAACACCAAAACTTTGCTATATTTTTTTGATGAGGCAATTGGAGTTAAGTGACTTGCACAGAGTCACACAGTTAAGTGTTACATGTCTGAGGTCGGATTCGACCTTCGGTCCTCCTGACTCCAGAACTGATACTCTCTATCCATTGAACCACTTAGCTGTCCCCAAAACTTGGTTTTAAAATGGGTAACCTGTCTTCTTGCAAAACAAAAACTCGAGTCTTTATTACAGAGGTATTGATGTCGGCAAAGCTGCTTTCAGACTTCGTGGATTTGGGATGGATGGGTAGAGCAAGTGAGCCTTGCAGGATTGGTAAAATGAGCAGTGGACTAGATAATCCAATTTAATAAAGTGATTATCCTTTTGCTTCTCTACCCCTAGATTCCCCTTCTTGGGTTCTTCACCCCCTTCCTTCACAAAAATTATTAAGAGTACAGTGGATGATTTATTTGAATAGCTCACAGAAAGCCAGTATGTTACCTTCTTCCCCCAGCCATGGCTGCAACTTTGCTTGAATCCCAAAGTCAGAGTAAGGACTGGTGTTTTTTTCTTTTTTTTCTGTCTTTCGGATACTCAGCCCCTAATCAAACAGCATTTATTTTTGTTGTTCAGTCATTTCAGACACTTTGTGATCCCATTTGGGGTTTTCTTAGCAAAGATACTGGAGTGGCTTGCCATTTCCCTCTCCAGCATTTATTAGCCACCTCCTATGTGCCAGCCTGGGGATACAGAGACGGGCAAAAAATAATTCCTGCTCTCACGGAGCTCCCTGTCTGATGGGCAAGACACGTGCTGACTCCCTTGTGCAAACAAGATATTGACAGGGAGGGAAGACCCTAAGATTGAGGACTCCTTAGAGAAAGGTGGGACTGTTACTGAGCCTTGAAGCTAAGAATGCAGCTGGTGAGCCCTTAATGATTGCTTGTTAAATGATAGAACAAGCCCCCAAAATGAAAAGACGGCAGAAGTTATTGTTAAGACCGCGGCGAGGTTCCAGAAGACTACCTTTCTTTACAGGGGGGACGGGACATTCACCTGCGTGGACGTGCCTTTCCCAAGCCTTTCCTCCCCCACGTACCCTGGAGTTTCCCCCTTCCTCCTCCAAGTCCCTCTGCGTCCTCCCACAACAAACTTTCCTCTTTATAAATAAAGTGGGAGGTGCCCTGCCGCAGGGGAAGGCTAGAAAAAACTAGACAGCAGCCACTTGCTGCTGGCAGGTGATGTCATGTGGGACTAGACTGGAGGGCGGGCTGGCGGGAAGGAGGCGGCGGGGGCTGTCCGCACCACTCCGCCCCCGCCCATCCCCCCAAATAAGGAAATGGCCCTCACGTGAGAGCCCGTAGCTAAGGGAGCCCCACTCTTACTCCGGCCCTGGAGGCGGTTGTGAGCGCGGCGGCGGCAGCGGCGCACGGGCAGCACTCCAGGGACTGAGCCGCTGGCACGCACCCCGAGCCGGGAGCAAGAGGAGGAGGAGGAGGAGGAAGCGCGGCATCGCCGGGGGCCACCATGCCCACCAACTTCACCGTGGTGCCCGTGGAAGCGCAGGGAGACCCCGCGGAAGGCTCCGGGGATACCGAGGCAGCGGGGGAGGAGCTGGAGCGGCAGCCGCTGTCGCCTCCGGACGCGGAGGTCTCCCCGAAGGGGTCGCCCGCGCCTGGCCAGGATAAGCGAGAAGGCAGCTTGGGGAGCCTGGGTAAGTGAGAGGAGGAGGCGCCCCGCGTCCCCGCCGCAGCCCTGCAGCCCCCGCTCGGCCCTGGGTCCGGCTGCGGGCTGAATTGATTTCCAAGTTCCTGGCCCGGGACGGGGCGGTGCAGAGGGAGGAGACTCGAGGAGACCGAGGGTGTACCTGAGCCGGGACAAAGACGGAAGGGCGCGCGCCGGCGTGCCGGGGCCGGGGTCCGCGCCCCGGGGCTCGGCGCTCTTTGTCGCCGCTCGGCCGCCTTGGGGTCATTTCGGTCTTTGTTTCTGGCGGCCGAGGGTGGGGGGGGGGTTGGGCCGGGCGAGCCGTCCCGCTGTCCTGGGGGTCGTGGAATATCGGGCCTGGGGGGAGGAGCCCCCTGGGGTACCCGAGCTGGAGCGCAGTGAGGAGCCGGGGGGTGCGGGAAGGGCCCCAAGGAACAAGAGAAGGTGGCCGCTTCTTGTGCGTTTGGTTGGTACTTTGGGTTAAGTCATCCTGTAAGTGGTGATATGATGGCCAGCGGGCTTGGAAAATGGGATGGGAAGAGTCATTGGACTTCTCTCATTTTCCACATCACGCGACCTTGACTGAACTGCTATCTACTGGAAAAAGGAAGGATGGGATTTCCTTGCAACGGAGAGAGCATTCCCATCCCTGCTGCCTGCCCTTCCTAGGAAGTGTCTTGGCCTTGACTCCTGGCATCTGTGTTCTGTTTTCTTGCAGTGCCCCCCCCCCCCCCAGTACCACCCTCCTCTCCATGCTAGGTTTTCACCTAACTCTCTTTTGCAGCTGGATCTTCTCCAACTTAGACAATTTGTGCAGTTTGGGACAGTGTTAACTCATCGCTTATGTGTATCTTCTAACTGGAACTGGAAGGGACTTTAGAAGCCGTGTAGTCCAACCTCTTTTTACAGATGGGGAAAATGATGCCCAGGGAAGAAAATAAATTTATCCAACTGGTAATAAGAAGGATGAATTGGAACTCATGCAGTTTCCTAATAGTTTTCACAGCCCTATGAGATTTGGGATCTGGTAGAAGATTTAGAGATATAAGGGACCTAAATGTTGGGCTAGTCCACTACCGAGGAGGCCAAGAGAGGTCAAATTATTTGTCCTTTGTCACCCAATTTTAAGTGGCAGAGATGGGATACAAAGCAAAGTCACTTGACAACACATCCAGTGTCTTACCAGTATTGTTGAGTTTTTCCCCTTATGATAAAGCCTTGGTTTCCTTCTTTTCTCTTTTTAATCTCTCCATTCCCATGCTGCATCCCTCTTGTCAAAGCCCTTTCATTTTTCTCCTTGTTGACTCGTCTGTAGGAAAGAACATTCTCATAGACGGAAGAGGATCAGGAGGAACCTTCAGAGAGGGTTGTGTTTTATAACTTAAGAAGATGTAGCAAGGTGCAAGAATAAGGCTAGGTAGACAGGACCTGGGTATTGATGAGATTTTTTGAGAAAATAATGGAGTCACTTGGTGTAGGTAGTTTTAATTATTTATCAGAATATATGTAATATTTACATAGTTCTTCATCAGTGTATGTACAGCTTGATAGAAGCCAAAAGTTATGAGTTTCCATTTACTTTTGTGTCTGTGTTTCTTCTAGGAATACTTTGACCACTCTGCAAAACACTTAAGTTTTGTTTTTGTTTTCTGCTGAGGAGCTTCCATATTTTTGTAATGACCAGTGTAAGGAGATTCCAGCTGTGGAATCTGGACTTTTTTTCTTCTTCAAGTATTTCAGGTCCTCATTTTGTCCAAGGAAGAAATGCTGGATTTAGTCAAAGGACCTGAGTTCAAATTTATATGCTACCTGTGTAACCTTGGTCAAGTCATTTAACCTCTCGGATAAAGTGGATAGAGTGCTGGACTTGTATTAGCTGTTTATTCCTGGACAAATCACTTAACCTTTCTCTCCCTCAGTTTCTTCAACTGTCAGTTGGGGATAAAAATAGCACCTACTTCCCAGTGTAATTGTGAGGCTAAAATGAGATAGATAATACATGTAAAGCTCCGTAGAAAACTGTAAAGCACTATTTAAATGTTTATTATCATTAACTCAAAAAAGACAGGGTTGAATTTAGAAAGTCTAAGGTTCCTTTCAGTTCTCAAGATGTCAGTAGTCTATATAAGCAAGAAGGTTTCCAGTCACATATAAATTATGTCTGGAGACATTGCCATCATTTGATGTGAAAAAGAATCATTCCAAGGCTTTGTTCTTCTACTTCTTCTATCCTGTATCCTTCTATCCCCTTGATCTTACTCTTCGATTTGGTTATTATTCTTGGTCAGGGGACAGGTTATCACTCCTTTCTGGATAATTCGAAAATGTATATCTAGCACCAAGCTCCAGTCCTGCATCTTCAACTGCCTGTTGGACATATCCACAGGTTTATCCTGCCTGTGCTTCAAATTCAGCATGTCCAAAACAAATTCAGTTCCTTCTTTTCTTCCCCTTTCCCTTCTCCTTTATCCCCTCCCAAATATTCTGTACCTACCTAGTCATCTAGGATTAAGCCTGTGGGTCACATGACCATTTTTATCACTGTATCAATCGGATGTCTGTCCAGATGATTTTTCCTCTACCATATTTCATTCATTGCACCCCATTCTGTTCACACTACCACACTGTTCCCCCCCCAACTCATGTATTCATTAAAATTGTACAGGGAAATATTAATGAACTCCCAGTTTCCATTTTCTCTCCTCCTAATCTATCTTTCTTTGCTCCCAAGCAAATCTTCCTGTTGCAAAGATGTGACTACAGTTCCCCTGATCTAAAAACCTTCAGTGGCTCCCCATCACTAATAGGACAACATGCAAACTCTTGAGTTGGGCATTTAAGAATCACCATAGTCATACTTGCTGGTTTCCAATCTCTTTCTGCCCTCTCTAGGCTCTATGCATTCACATGGCCTATCTCTTGCTTGGAATGTACTCCCATCCCATTTCCACCTCTTTTGGAAATCTTTCTTTCTTCAAAACACACTTCCAAGGACACTTCTATAAACCCTTCACTGATTCCTCTCCTTCCTGTCATCCCCAGCTGAAAGTGATCTCTGTCAGCGCAAATTTCTCAAAGTATGCCTCAAGGGCAAAGAAGTCTAATCTCACTCTGGTGTACCTTGTATCAGATTTATCCCTTTCTCACCTATTACATTTTAAATTCTTGACAGCTAGGGAGCATATTATTTTGTTCTGGTATCCTTTAGCATAAATTAGACAAAATAAATGTTTTTGTGATTTGAATTGCATTTTGCCATGATAAAAACATTTTGATTTTATGTCCTGGCTGTTTAACAGCCCTTGGGATCCTGGATGATGCCTTTGCAGTATACTTATTGAGGAAAAGCGATTCATTTGTCATTATTGTTCAATAATTCTAGAAAATCAGAAAATTTCTTTGAGTTGGAGAGTTGCCTTAGGAGCTTTCATGAATTATACAGTTCAGAGTTTGAAGGAGCAGGGCTTTAGAACTGGAAGCAGTTACTCAGTTCTGTCTTTTTTTTTTTTCTCCTTAGGCAGTGGGGGTTAAGTGACTTGCCCAGGGTCACACAGCTAGTGTCAAGTGTTTGGTCTGAGGTCAGATTTGAACTCAGGTTCTCCTGACTTCAGGGCTAGTGCTCTATCCACTGCGCCACCTAGTTGCCCCTATTTTATTTTATTTTATTTTATTTTTTTAACTTGAGGAAGAAAGACCTTTAATCACTTAGTGTTACTTCCTCAATTCAAAGATAAGGAAACTGAGGCTCTGAGAAGGTTCATTCAACACCTCGTTAACAGGTAGTTAATAGTCCAGGTTTGAATCTACATCTTCTGACTCCAAATTCAGTGCTTTATTTCCATTTCACCAGTTCATATATTATAACTCATCACTGGTATCTTTTTTATTTTCCATTTTCTAGTCAATACTGTAATTCTTTCTTGGTTCCAGTCTCTTTGGGTCCTTAGTCTTTATTAGGAATTTTTAAACGATTGAATTTACTCCTGTGCAATTTTACTATACAACATCAAGATTCTTTCAAGCCCTTAGTCTGTGATCCTATGAACAGGTTTTCTTTCCCTTGGCTTAGTGTTTTTTAGAACATTTATTAGCTTAAACAATAATGCTCTGTACTGCTTGAGCTGAGCAGTTGCAGACCTTGCCCTTGGGAATCCCAAGTTCTGGTAAAATATTTGACACCTTTGACTTGATGCAATTTTTTTTCATTGTGTTGGAAAGGATGGAGAATTGCAGCCTACCTTTTTATATGTGGTATTTTTTTTTATTTTTTTAAGTGTTCATTTTTAGTATGAACTCAATCATTGTTTGGCTATGGAACAAATTGAGAGCATGGACTTTTCTGTGGCTCAATATCTGAATAAGTTGATACTGGTGGAGATTGGATGTATTTTGATTTGGTGTAGTGGGGACAAACAAATCTTGGAGTGAGTGAATGATAGTGTGGTGTGAATTGATTGGATGTCCTGAAATGAAGGTCTATAAGAGATTTTTTTCCCCCCAAAGTCTTGTTATTTTCAGAATTTCCATGCTTCATAGTTAAAGGGGAGTCTGACTTCTGAGTTGCCATTGATGGGAAGATTGGTAGCAACTGGGAATTTTAGCATTTGTTGGTTAGTATTTTGAATGTGTTTTGTATGTTGTTGGTGGCCTTTGCATAAAGCAGAGACAGAGCTCTAGACCCTTAGCTTGTTTATTGAATCCTCTGATGACATTTGGTTCATACTCTGCCGGCATGCTCTCAATGTTTTGGGCAAAGTGTGAGTGGGTTAGGGTCCCCAGGGCCAGGCAGTCATTGTGAGTAGAGACCAGGTCAGGACTGGGAATGGGGGAACAGTGAGTGGGGGAATATGTTTTAACCTGCAACTTCCTTGGAGTCTTGACTTGTTACTAGGGGCCATTGAAGGGAAATAAATAACTCCTGGGATTCCTTAAAGCAGGGGTTTTTAACCTTTTTTGTTTTCATGGACCATATTAACAGTCTGACACTATGGACCCTTTCTCAGAAAAAAA